GTGATTGTGTTGCCCTAAAATATATTAAAAAAGATAAAGTTATCCTAAAGCCTTAAGATCTGAGGCAAGGAAGTAGCTCTCGCTACCACTTACATCATACTTTTTTAAATTTTCTGTTTAAGTCACCGTAAAACAAGGCTCATTCCTAGAACAAGGAAAGAAGAAAAGGAAGGATACATATACTACAATTTCCTTCTTCTAAGCTAAGCCATCTTTATCCTATCTTGTTAGCTACAAAATAACACCAGCATTTTACAACATTTTTCTTACACAAAAATCTACGGTGAAAAACTAATTTACAAAAGAAGCATAAGTAAAATTTGAGGTTTCGCGGTTTTTATCATATATATATATATATATGTGTGTATAAATATATAGGTATGTACTATATGATAAACTAGCAATGTTTTATAATGCAAGTGTAAGATTAACAATGTAAGTCTATATAATACACAAAATAAAACGCATACATTTGAAACGAACGGTGATTTATTCAAAGTGACTGACTGAATTTATACAAAAACGAGTGACGAACTTAATCGTGGGTTTGTTTTATATTACACACGTCATAAGAAAATTTAGAACCTTTTTGAGTTTTTTGAAACTTGGTTTATATGGAGAAAGACTGCATTAAGATTATAATTGGTTTTCGGTTTTGGAATTATAGTTTATATTAATTAACTATGTTTAATTCTTCATGGCACGAGTTAATAATATGGGTTAAAGTATGAAATTGCCGTTGTTTAATAAAAGATACTTTGAATTGACATAAAACTTCATGGTGTAAGTTTTTCGTGTGTAACTTTTTTCACATGTTCCTATGAAGTTCTTCTTTTAAAAAATGTGCAACATTAGACTTCCGACTGTCAATTGTTTTTTTAGCTTAAACTTGAAAGATGTATACTTCGAAAATCTGAGTCTGAGAATCTGTTCAGGCAATAACAGCAGATGTTTACTGTGCCGAACTTCGAACAATGATGGCGAAACAGGCAAAGTAACAGTCCCGACTCGTGAATCGATCTTCACTATTATTGCTCAAGGATAACGCAAGACCTCATATTGCACGAGAAACCGTTGTAACTCTACAGGAACTGCAGTTAGAAACCATACGTCATCCTTCGTACTCGCCAGACCTTGCTCCAACGGATTCCCATCATAATCACGGTTAACTTACTCAAATTTCTGTGTAGTTTTTGCTATTTTACAGCCAAATTAGCTTTCTGACATAAAATACGAACGGACAGTTTAAATAACGTTTAATTAATCATAACTCTTCTAATTAATTATCTCGTTTAATTAATTATCTCTCTTCTCTTCTTTTCGTGCGACTTCTTATTAATACAACACTACAAAAATTGTTTAATTATTCTAAAGAAGTAGTACTAAGGCTATTTTAGGTCATAATTGCTTCATTGGTATTTAGTTCAAAGGCTTGAACGTCTAATATTGTGTATAATATGAAACATCAAACTAAATACAGACAGTATTTCAGCAACAACAGTCTCAATCAACCTTAGTGAAGTCTGAATTAAATTTCTTGTGGTCTAAATGAAGTATACCTTAATTCGATTCAACAAAATAACTATTAGAATTTATTAAGATCAGCTGCATAAAAAAATATATTAGGTTTTTTTTTTCTTTAAAAAAGACAACTCCCGCACTGGGAATAAACCTGTGTCGTGGAGGACTTTACAAACATACATGAAACGGACACAAAGTACACCCAGACTCAGAACAACAATTTGTGGATCACACAAAGTGTTGTTCCATGTGGGGTTTGAACCCACAACACTCGGCGTAATAGGTAGCGGCGTGACGACCGCTTAAACCACTACGCCATCCGTGCAGTCAATTTTGTGCAGGTTTGTTACATTTATGTTGTCTACGTTCATACGTGGTAATGGCTGAGGTTTGATGAAGTGATTGCTAGTTTGATTTCCACTCAGTCTACTAATAACAACTGGTGTCCCATGTGGGGGTCGAACCACAACACTTAGCGCAGTAGAAAGTGGTGAGATGACCCCTTTAACCACTACGCTTTCTGTGCAGTCATATCACGTTTAATAAGAGTACCAGTAGTCTATGATCCACGTTGCTAGTACTTATATTTAAAAATGTAATTATTGTCATTGTCAAACACATAATAACCTTTCGTTTGATTACCACAAATATTACAAAATATTTTATGCAATAATTACAGAGGTAACGACTTTGATATAAGAAATGCAATAAAAAACTTTCAAAATATGTTTTTTTTTTTAAAGACAACCTACGTACTAGGAATAGATCCTGTGTCACGGGGGATTTTACGAACTTACAGCTTAGTAGGAAGCGGCGAGGTGACCGATTAAACCACAACGCCATCTGTGCAGTCGCGAAATAATAATAATATTTATTGTAACTAATACAACTTGTTCAACATAAAACTAAGTTACACATTAAACAGCTACAGCAACACCTAGTTTGGCAACGGTGGCTATCTCAAGCCACCGGTGCCAAATTTGCGGTATACATCTATTTTGGATTTTATTAGATACGTGTTAAAACATATTCTTGAACTAGCTGAGACCCGCGGTGTTACCCGCCTTTGTTGTTATAACCGCGAGCAACGCCGCGGGGCGAAGCTAGTCTAAAAAAAGTAGCCTAAGTTACTCCTTATGTCATCAGCTATCTGCCAGTGAAAGTCCCGTCGAAATCGGTCCAGCCGTTCCAGAGATTATCCAGAACAAACAGACAGACAGATAGACAGACAGACAGACAGACAGACAAAAATTGTAAAAAATGTTATTTTGGCATATGTATCATGTAAACATACATATGCATTTAGTAAAAGCGGTTATTTTAATATTATAAACAGACACTCCAATTTTATTTATTTGTATAGAAGATATTCAATCATATACGTTTCTGAGTATTAAGAAATATTGTTAAGTTTAGATTTTATCACAAAACCAAGTTAGTCATAAGTTTTTTTTTTTAACTCTGGACTACAACTTTACTCTTAGAAGTAGAATTTGTACAGAGTGGCGACAGGAGAGAATGAATGAAGAAATTTATAAGAAGAAGTACAACAAAATACATGTTATTAATACTTATGTGTATGTGATTCCTTTTGTTTCTCGCGTTTATCAGCTCTTATAGATGACTGCCTTTATGGCATTTCATAAGAGGACTAGTGACGTATAAAGGACTGTTTACAAGTCACTGGGTTCATGTAAGCCTGAAGGAAATACACGTACATGCGACATGATTCCTATGTAGGCAGCGAGAAAACGTTATTGGCACAACTATGACGTAATAAGACCGTAATGTCATGTTATAAGATCATTAATACAAAAAATAAAGCTTAAAAAGTGCGCTAAAAGTTAAGTAAAAGACTTTTATTAGTCATTAAGTTAATTACATTTTTACTTTCCAACAATAAAATAAAAACACTCGTCCCTTCCGTCCCTTCATCCTCCAGGAGTAGATAGGTACGTATTAAAACGACCACGTTTTGTCGACTACAATTTTAGCTACACTGGCGTAATAGGAGTTAAATAAATAAATATACTTGTAATTTCTAAATATATATATATATATTATACAATATATAAATTAAAAGTAAGTAACTACCGCTGCCAATGGACAAAAATCACAATAGTGCAGCTAAAGAGTGCAAGCTTTAAGTGTAAGTCTTCCCCTCCCTCATCCTTACATATTATAGAAGGAAGTGACTCGGCCACGTCTGTGAGTCTGTTTGAACGCGATAACTCAAAAACTACCGAACGTACCTACGGTTACACACTACTTACGGTTTTCACCAATAGGTAGTGTGATTCCTGAGAAAGGTTTAGGTTTCATGACAGTTTTATGTAAATTGACTGACATAAAACGATTATTGTGGAAAAGGTCGCAATTTTTTTTATGCCGGTTTATATACCGTGTGGAAAAAGGATCACGGTTAATACCAAAACTACTAATTCATATTAAAATGTAATATTTAACCATTTATTAGGAATGGGAATTCGTTTCTTTATTTGCCTCAAATATATTATGATAGCTTAATATAAACAACGCCACAGCCTTACGCATACATGAAAAACCGATTCAAATCCATTTCCCCAATCTCCACCCGAGCAAAAGTCAAATCTTGTTTACAAGCAAAACTATTACATATTTCATAACCCCAAAAAATGTACCTTTCGATGAAAAATGTATCAGCCATCTATCACCGAAGTCGTTTCTTGGTAAGTCAGCTGAACAAAAAGTTCTCGGGGTGAATAACGTCGTGCGAAATTAAATCCGGGGCTATAAAGAACAGATGACGTAGTACCGGTTAACTTCTCTGAAATGGCCCGGAGTCGTTTTGGACTGTGTATTTTTTGCTTATTTTTAGATGGCAAAGAGATTTGTTTTGAATGGCTTCCAAGTTATTATTTTTATTTACATTTTGATCATCAAGTTTAATGAAATTACAATCAACTTAAAACAAAGTGAAAAAAATACATACCTCAATTAATGTTACACAACGATATGTGTCACGCCGAAAGTATATTACGGATAATAAGTTTTTATGGTCACAGAAAATTAAATTTTGAATAAAAATCCATAGATAAAAAACCTCCTATCCTATTAATTATTGTTTTGTCTAGGGATTGGAAATAATCATTAAAAAGACTTTTTTACATGGAAAAGAGAGTCATTTGTTGTGTTCTGGGAACTTTGTCCTGACGAAAAGCACAGTTAAGCTAATATTTCTACGCCACCTAGTATTATTTTCCATGTTGCACTTATGTATCAAAAGCTGTCCTTACCTCGTAGTTAAAAAGCGATATCTCTTACAAAATGCATCGATTTACAGTATTGTTAATTGCAAGATTCAGATTCGGCATAATTAATGTTGCATTAGACAAGAAGATTAATAAACAATACATGACGTCAGCTGAAGTAATCAGTGTGACTTAGATGCTGTACTGGTGACGTGATTCGATTCAATTATACAAATATATGTTGATATGCTAATCAGCTTGTAATAAACAACATGTACATACCTTATCTCTGAGCATATCTCTGACCCTCGTAGCCTGGTGTCTACTTCTGTGCAGTTCAAGTTGCAGCTCTAAGCACCGCTCCTGCCAGTTGATGGAGCCCACCTCCGCGAGTTCGTACTCCAAAGGGTCTAACCGCGAGGAGTGCGCGATTGGCCTGCAAAAGAGTTCATATTAGTGCCTTATGGCGGGACCACATTATTTGAAACATAGTTTTGGGACAGTGAGAGATGTAATGCATACAGAGGGGCTACTTTGTTGAAAACTTCAGTTGCCAATGCACTATACAGGTATATCAAGATTTTTGTTTATTGTAACTGGCTCGATGGTTGACAGCTATCACAGCATTTAAATACTTTAACCCTAGTGATGTTACTTGTGCGTTGTCGACCCTTTTCTGTCTCAGCTCTGTTTACACTAATCGCCATCAAGTAAACGGCACTAACCTATATAATGTTTTATGTCAAATGTACTTACATAAACAACGTACATTAAACAGAGTTATATTAAACAGCCGGTTATTATAGTTTGTAGAGAGTGTAAAATACAATCAAAAGTCTGGTGAGAGAGAGAAATTGTACGCGTTATAAGCAAAGTAGAGATTGATCAACAGTCTATGCGGTATATCATTAGCGGCACGTCAAAGTGCAAATTATGAAGAAGGTATTACATATTCACTTCCATTAGTTACGATTTGCATAATATCAATGTTGTGACAGGCTATTTTTGTTATTTTTTGCTGGTGCTCTTGTGTACCACATAAACTAGAATAGAATAAAAAAGTAAAACATTTGTAAACCATTTTGTGTTACTTAATATCGTAGTAAACGAAAGCTTTTAGAGATGAGCCGAATTTTTTTAGAACTTACAATGAAAACTTAAATATTGTATTACAAAAAAACTGAAGAATGTATACAAGTCTACTTATCAAATAAATCTACGAGTAACAGCATCATATTCAACCTCATTAAAAAAGTAATTAACACATCATCCTGAATAAAATTATTCACATACACAACTACAGAGACACATTCAATACACGTACACAAGTTTCAAGCACAAATTCGATTCACGTAACCAATCTTCAGCCAAAAATGTACAGAACACTCATAAATATTGGGAGCCTTCATTAATTTAAATGCACAATATTCCGCTTCACTATAAATACTTGAACGGGGTTTAAACAGCCCAGTTGGTAGCTTTCACGGGATTAATACGAACAAATGAGGTATTATTAATAATAAATGATTAATTTGCCAGGGAGACAGCTGGATTATGTGATGAGATCATCAAATGGAACAAATTGTCTTAATGAGTTTTGTATATGGAGTTAGTCGGTTGTAATTTGATTTTCGACTGTATACCTTTTTTTAACGCCTTTAATCACGTGAGTATATATCGGGTTATAATATCGACGATTAAAATCCCTATGAGTAAAATGTCGATGGTCAGAACATCTAAAATTAAAATGTCGAACGACCATAAAAACGAAAATTAAAGTAACTAAAGTTTATATGGTCAAATTGTTAAATGACCTACGTCTAATATGTCTAAAAACTTATATCTACTAAAGTGACAGCGGAGGACCTAAATATAGAAGCAGATCCTTGCATTTAGGTCCTTTGATGTCACTGGTCTAACCTAACCCAAATAATTCAATAACAGTAGATATTAATTTTTAAACATTTGATATTTTAAGCACTCGGTATTTCAATCTTAGACTTTACTAAAACTTACTACTTTACTAAAAATGTCTTTAGTCCTGTCAAACAACGTTTCTCATTCTGGAAATGTAGTGCTTGACAGGACTAAACTAATTTTAGTGATGTTTACTCGTAGTTTAGAGAGTTTTCGAACAACAGAATTAGCACCATTGACATTTTACATTAACATCGACATTTTACCTGTAGTTATTTTAATCTTCGATAAAATGTCTTATTTTTGTAGACGATTGTATTTTAGCTTTTCATACGAAGATGTATAAATGAGTCCCTTGAAAAAAATGCTTGCATTAAAAAGGCTTGTCCAATTGAGGTTTTACTAAATAAATTATCAACTCACAAAGACATCACGAGACATTAAAAGCGTAGATGAAGGTGGCAATCCCATTAGTCCAATTTATTATATCTGATATCTTTTGTATTCTGTTAGTATGTTTATAGACAGCTTACTCCAGATTATAAAAAAAACAATGGCACTCCGAGAGTGCCGACAGAAGTGAAAACTTTAACAATTACGTGTGCATTTTTGAATTGTCAGGAAATATTTTTTTAATCGTCGAAGTGTCGGTAACGGCAACGGTAACAGTGTCGCTGGTTCAATGGTTTTTTTACCTTCCCAAAAATGAGTTTTTTGTTAAACCATAAAATACATTCTTTTGTTTTTTGTTCAAAAATACCCAACTTAAAAAATAAACAGTGGTTTGACATTATTAGTGGACACGTATCAAAATCATTACAGAATACCGGAGGATATCTGCCTAGGCGTCCAGACCAGACATATTTCTTTATGCAATTTCTTTAGTAGAACTCACGGTGCCCTGGGAAACGAACATCCTTAAAGACCACGCTTTAAAAAGAAACAGTTACTTTGATTTAACCAACGAAATAACTAAAAATGGTCATGTTGTTGCGTTGTATGCCGTGGAAGTGGGTGCGAGGGGTATACCATGTATATTCCTCTATAACCTTAAAGACCTTGGATTGCCAAGAGCTTCAGTAAGTCCTTTTCTTAAACGAATATCCAAAGCGGCATTGCTTGGCCCGTATCAATAATGGTTAGGTAGAGGGGGTAAAACAGCAGACAGTGTAGGTGAGCGCTGACGCGTCGCAAGAAGTACTCCCTAAACCTATACCGGGGTCGCAATTCAAAGGCGCTGTTGAAGTTGCATTCTATCACGAGATGGACCCGGCACCCGCACGGTGAATCACTGGAACGCTAAGAAATAGGTCTTAAAAAGAAAGGAATGCGGAATAGTATAACATAAACTAGAAAATCGCAGTGATATCGTACGTACGAATACATTGTATACTTTTTTTACTATCTATAATTACAAATTTTATTTCAAAAGAAGGTAAAATAAAGGAGATATAAAATAATATGTTATTTCGACCTGAATGCAGATCTCCTAAATAAGCTGGACCGCCTTCTGAATAACTGCTTCCGGTACATTCGCAACCTTCGCAAGTATGACCTGTCTGTCTTACGTTCCCAACTGAACTGGTTACCCATTCGCTTGCGCCGCAATCAGCGAGCTCTGACATCTTTATTTTCATTTCTCATCTCCCCATCCTCACCTACTTACCTTGCTCCCTACCTCCGTTACTTGTCGTCTAATCATAACCGTTCCGTATTGCGTCCGTAAAACAAAAGCATCTCCAAACAACATAACATTAAATATAACATATAAACGCTACATAAATTTTTGTACCAAAATCTTAAGGAAAGTAAAAACAAGCTATGAAAGGGAACACACAATGAAAGGGAAAATCTGTGAAAAATGACAACAAACAGTTATGGAAAGTTATTAAAACCATTACCAACACTACAAAAATTACGACACCCCCTAAAGAACTTTTAACCCTCTCTTCAACACCTGAACGGGCACTGCAAGAAGTAAACAGCCACTTTGTGAATGTTGGGACCCTGCTGGCAAATAAAATTACTCAAAAAAATAAACATTCCCACACACACGCTCTAAATTTAATAAATATAAAGGAAAACATAACAAGTCCAAGTAACTCATTTGTACTCTTAGACACCGACGAACAAGAGGTACAAAGTATTATTACTCTCTTAAAAACAGACTGCGCCTCAGGAAACGATACTATTTCTTGCAAATTTTTAAAACAACACAAACACACATTAGTACCTATTCTGACAAAAATTTTCAACGATTGTCTAACATCTGGCATTTTCCCAAATTCTCTGAAAAGGTCAGAAGTATGCCCTATCTACAAGAGTGGTGACAGAAGTTGTATTAGTAATTACAGACCAATAACCATATTACCGGCTATTTCAAAAATTTTTGAAAAAATAATAAATACTAGACTAAAAGCCTACCTTGAAAAACACAATCTCTTATCACCTAATCACGTATTGATTAGGTGATAAGAGATTTCGAACGGGGAAGTGTACCGAACATGCTGTGAACAAGCTGATTGGTTTTGCAAGCACTAACGTCTCAAAGGGAAATAAATGTATAAGTATGTTCTTAGACCTAGCTAAGGCGTTCGATACAATTTCTGTTCCCATCTTATTGAACAAACTCGAGGAAATCGGAGTTAGAGGTGTTCAACTTGCACTCATAAAAAGTTACCTTTCTCGGCGAGTTCAGCGTGTTCAAGTAGGACAGTATAAAAGTACATATCTTCCTGTTACTCACGGTGTTCCGCAGGGCAGCGTCTTAGGACCCATTGTATTTCTCGTATATATAAACGAGCTCACACAACTCAAACTTACCCAAGGCGAAATCATCTCCTTTGCTGATGACACAGCCCTAGTTTTTGCCGCTGACACTTGGGATGAAGTTTTTGACGCTGCCCAGCAGGGTTTTAATACTGTTACGAAATGGCTTCAAAGAAATATTCTAACACTAAATGTAAACAAGACAAAATATATTTGCTTCAGCATAAGAAGTAGTTCCGTGATTAACGATAGAAATAATATTGTCTCACACGAGTGTTCCTTGGGACTTGACTGTTACTGTTCATCGTTGGAGCGTGTAAATGTGATAAAGTACTTGGGTGTTATAATAGACAGTAATCTCAACTTTAAAGAGCACATCAAACACTTGTGCGCCAAAACACGTAAACTCATTTATGTCTTTAAGAACTTGATCAGTAGCAGAACCGCTGTTGATGAAGCAAATATATTGTGTGCTATGTCAGTCGCTCCTAACATATTGTATTACCTCATGGGGAGGCACATATAAAACCGTAATGAAGTCCGTTGAAGTTGCCCAGAGAGCAGTACTCAAGGTTTGCAATAATAAACCCATTTTCTATTCCACTGCGGCACTTTATGAACTGTGCGAAGTTCTAACCGTAAGACAATTGTATATATTGAAGATTATAATGCTACAACACAATAAAATGACCTATAATCCACAGTTGTTAAGGAGACGTAGAAAATATATGGTGTGTAAATTTCCGTCGG